CCCCTCTCCCCCCACCCATCTCTTACAGGAAGTCTATCTAAAACAAAAAAAAAATTGGCATTAAGGGAAATATGTATTTAAAAAGTAATGAGGCTGTTGCTATTCCCTTTGTAAAATGCTAGTCGTCTGGCTGTCAGGCTGATGCAGTGACTTTCAGTACTTTGACTTGGTACAAGGATGCAGATTTGGAGCTCTCTCCTTCATTTGTATCTTCTGAATGCTCTCAGTGTGTGGGAAGTGTTGAGTCCAGAGACAACCAGACAAGGTCAATTAATTAGCGTTCTGTTACGGTGCGGTAATTCACATGCAATAACATCTGTTATGGAATGTGTTAACCAGGGCCATCCCTATAGTGAGGCAGGCTGTTGCCTCGGGCGGCATCTTGTGGGGGGGAGGCAGACAGAGCGGCATGGTAACCCTGCTGCACAATGTTTGCAGTGTGTCTGCCTCCCCCTTTCTGGCCAGAGTGTCCCAGGTTGCTAAAAGCCAGGTGAGGAGATGTGTAAGGGACATAGTCATCTCTCCACCCAGCTCTTCGCAACCAGGGATGCTCTTGCCGGTGTCCCACCACAGCTCCTGGCAACCAGTGACGTCATTGGTTGCCGGGAGCTCAATGGGGCCCACCCTGCTGCCCAGCTGGCAAAAAAGCCTTGGCCGCCCATGGCGATAACGTTTGATGCATTTTGAATGGTCTTCTAGTGCACTACATCAGATAAAAAAACATACATGACCCGTCTTTAAGCAATGCACGGTATATGTACATGCGTTGTGTCATGCGTTGGTCTTCGCTGTACAACATGCTGAGGTGCCATTCACAATAATGGCACAGCACACAAAGCAGGCGTGTTGACTTGTGTTCATTCATGCGTTTTAGGGCACCTTGCTGCAACATACAAGTGTTCCTGGGCCCTGAAGGAAGCCAACAATGGGACTTGGTGTATTTCTTTCAGTCCAGGTTCGCTTTATGAACCGCTCACGCCTCTGAACGAAGCACTGCGTTAGCCAGTGTGTCCATGCACATCGTGGTACTTAGATACGTCATCTAGGTTCAGCGTTCAGGGATGTATTTTAAAAAATCCCCCAAACCTGCGTGCTGGCCTAAAACATGTTAACGTGCATGCCTACGGGTGTCCACGCATACATTCATTCCAGTGGTTAGAATGAATGAATATTCTGGCCTCTAGAATGGAATTTAAAGCAGAACTCCGGTGTATTTTTTCTTTGCCTTTGCAGTGCGGCTAAGGGCTACTACATTTTCACGCCATCCACCGAGCTGGCTTGCTCTTAGACCGGTCCTTTTCACCTCTGCTGCAGCAGTCTAAGGTCCCCGAGTCTCATGTTCAATACACTGTGTATAGGATGTGAGGACACATAGGGACATACCATTGGGAGGAGACAGGCTGGAGGGAGCGCTGTCACAGCTGGCCGGCTAGGAGTGTTGGGTGAGTAGAACTTTGGTATTTTCAGCCCTAGACAAAAAGCAGCACCTCGCCCTTCTCAGAGCGGGAACCCCCACTACAAGGGTTAAGAAAACAAATATGCCCAGATTCCTGCTTTAAACACGTTCGCTTCTGTGCGCTCATAAATGTGAGTACTTGACGTGACATTAAACGCATTTTTCATGCTGTTTTTTTCTGCCAGCATAGATCTGAGTATTTCATTATGACTGTGTTCATGAGCCGTAGTGGTCTTGATGGGCTTTGGGCTTGTGTCGGTGGCATCAGTCTGAGAGCCTTCTCAGATCATTCAGAATTCATTGACAGGTGCATCTGACCAGAAGTTGACTTGCTTCTGACATGCATTTGACTTGCAGCTGACCTGCTTCAGGTTTCACATTCCCATAGACTTGCATAGCAATTCTAAACCTGCTAGATGTGGACAAAATCCCATGGACACAGGCCCGTTGTCTGCTTGGGTTGTGTATTCTGGGGAAAAGTGTGTTTATTACAGCTGATGGAGCAGATTATGAGGGTCTTGTTTACAGGCTTGGAGAATGAAAGCTTCCTGTTAGGGCTTGTTCACACCATTCACAGCGCGTTCCAGAGCAGTTAGCTGCTGGAACGCACTGTATCGCATACTAAACTCCCCCGTGCATTCTGAGGCGGGAGGGGGGGTGGCGGCGCAGTGAAGTCAATGGCACCGCAGCCACGGCCACAGTGCTGTGGCCCGCACCAGAACGCGTGGCACAACAATGCCTGCGTTCCGGTCCAGTGTGATCGCAAAAAATAGTGCATGCAGTATTTTGTGCCAACGCACTGGGCCGGAACGCAGGCATTGTGCCACGCGTTCTGGTCCCGGCGATCGCCACCATGCCCCCTCCTGCCCCAGAATGCAGGGGGGAAGTTTAGTATGCAATATAGTGCTGGAACTCTGGAACAATCAGCCGGCTTCCTGATTGGCTGGGAAGCCGGCTCCTTGCTCCCTCATCACAAGTGACGAGGGAGCATGGAGCCAGCTTCTCGGCCAATCAGGAAAGTGGGCAGCGTGTAATGATGCGCTGAGCGGCTTCCTGATACCGAAAGTATCAGGATAGGTCACGTGACGAGGGAGCATTGAGCCGGCTTCTCGGCCAATCAGGAAGGTGGGCAGCGTGTAATGATGCGCTGAACGGCTTCCTGATACCGAAAGTATCAGGATAGGCATTGGAGCATTTTGGTGACTACGAGTACACGCCCAAATACTCGGCATCAGCACCGATACCGATACTAGTATCGGTATCGGTGCATCCCTAAATAGAAGGAATAGATGGTAAATCTTCCAATGATGTGACCCTGCTGACCACCCAGGATTTTCCTCACTTTGAAGGGATTTCCTCTCACTTCCTGTTGTGGCTATCGGACAGGAAGTGAAGAAATATCCCCTACGGTACCCTCCCTTTACGTTATTCAATTAAAAAAAAAGTTTTGGCTTCATTTCTACTTCAACCCTATATTATCGTTTTTTCATAAAGGTCAGCATAGGTGCCGTTGCCACCTATGTAACTGTGCTAGGGCTTGTAAAGGCTGGCATGGCTTTTCTGCGGTTTGATGTGCATTTGAAATGCATATCAAACGCAGGTCATTAGATTACCATGTATGTCAATGTTGCAGTGTGGATGACATTTCCGAGAGCTTTGCATTTTCTTGGGCACAGCAGGACCTATTGAGTTGGGTTTACATTGCAGGCA